TATGCAAGCTTCTCAAATCCATCTATGGATTAAAGCAATCCAGTAGGCAATGGTTCGAGAAGCTGTCCATTGTGTTACTCATAAATAACTTTAGACAATGCTTTTATGATCATTCTCTTTTCATACACAAATCTCAATAGCATTTCACTTTCATTTTGCTTTATGTTGATGACCTTTTGACTGCAGGTAATAACATGGATCTTATTGATAACACAAAATAGATTATGCATCATCACTTTCACATTAAGTACCTTGGGACCTTAAAATATTTTTTAGGTCTTGAAATTGCTCACAGCAGTTCAGGCATCAACATTAGTCAAAGAAAATACGCTCTTGATCTTCTTGCTGCAACCAATTTACTTGGTTGTAAACCTGCAAAACACCCATGGCTCGTGTCACCAGGCTCACCACCAATGTTGGAAATGCTTTGCATGACCCAACCAAGTACATAAGGCTCGTTCCTCAGCTTATTTATCTGCTTAACACACACCCATACATAGCTTACGCAGTTTAATATCTTAGTCAATACATGATTTCTTCCACAAACATCCATTATAATGCTGCTCTTTGCGTTTTGTGCTATCTAAAATCTTCATCGGGACAAGGATTATTCTTCCATAGCAAATCCATTTTGCAGATCAAAGCTTTCTCTGATTCTGACTGGGCCATATGCCCTGACACTACTAAATTCATCACAGGTTTCTGTATATACTTAAGCTAATGTCTCATATCTTGGAAATCGAAGAAGCAGCCAATCGTTTCCAGAAGTTCCACTGAAGCTGAGTACAGGTCCATGGCTTCTACAATTTGTGAAATCCAATGGATCACTAACCTCCTCAAAGACATTCACATGCCCTTTTAAACACCTTCTAATCTATATTGTGATAATGCCTCTACTCGCCACATAGCCAGCAACTCATCCTTCCATGAACGTATGAAACATATTGACTTAGATTTCCACCTTGTTCGTGAAAAGCTACAATAACATCTGTTCCATCTACTCCCTATTACTTCAGTACAACAACTTACTGACGTATTCACCAAGCCATTAGACACCACACCTTTCTTAACCAATGTAACTAAGCTTGGAGGTTATTACATATACCCCCAAGCTTATGGGGGTATTAGATATATAAGCTTTATTCTTCTTATTGGGCCTTATGTTTGTTATTGGGCTTACTGTGCCTATATATTTGTATGACCTAGTATTGTTGTATTATGAAACTCATTTCAAATTGTATAGCCTTTCTTTTCCCGCCACGCCTTGTTTTATCTTCTTCCTTGCAGCTAAGCTGCAAGTGTAATAGTATGCATCTTTGAAGGATAGAGTACATGTAGTAGATCGATTCCAAATTATTTTATCTTCTTTATCTGCTAGTGGGATATGAATTTGTTGAAGAATGTGCGAGAGGTTAGTATAAGCTACATGCAAAGCTTGAGGAATGATCCATTTCTTGTCGGTCCAAAAATCTTTGGCTTTGGCCTTTAGAAGATGATAAAACAAAGGAGAAATATTGAGAGTTTGCATAAGAAGGGAGCCAGTTCAGTTATCAATCTAGAAATTGGTTTTGGAACCATTAAAAATAAGTAGCCATAACAACATAACCCGTATCCATGGGTATCTATTCGAACATGCCTAGAATTTAACGGGAAAATTTGTTTTTAATTGAGTTTGGGTTTTTCCCGATTATAAAATACGGAGACAAGTCGGATAACCTAGACATTACTACCCACCTCGAACCCGCTCCATTTATTTTATTATGTAATTTATTATATAGTTTTGATAATTTAAAATATTAAATATATGGTCAATATTTTGATATTTTGATTTATATTTATTATTTAAAAATTTTGAAATGCAAGTATGGAATTTTTTTTATAGATTGTTTTATTTTATTATTTGTATGTAAGTTGGTTTTGGAAAAATATGAATATTTTTATTAAAAATTTGATTTCAATAAATGAATGATGGCAGGGAGGGGATAAACGAACCCAATCTGAACCTGTTCGGGATGAGTTTGAGTTTTTATTCTTCATCCCTGTTAGGGTTTGAGGCGGGGAACGAGAATTATTTAGGAATTCAGGTTTGAGTTTGGAGGAGGTAAAAACTGTTCTCGACCCGCTCCATTGCTATGGCTAAATAATAAAATAAGAATTATGTTTTATACCATTGAATTTTAATTTAACATTACTCCAAATAGAAGGAAAGACGTGGTAGAAAATATAAGAGATGGATCTCATCACTCATTCTCTAAGGAAGAGAGCACACTTATGGTTGGAATCAAGAAGATCCCAACAAAACTTTTGATGAAGTTGACACAGTGGGAAATATCACTTCTCAGCATTAGTTGAATCCACCAAATGATACGTATACCTCTCTGGAGCAAGTTACAAGAGCTCAGTAAGATACTAACAAGTCTCATAACACAAAAATATCATAAAAACAAATAGAGATGTTATGAACTAGCATACCTTGAATTACACTCTTAACAAACTATACTCTACCATTTATATACAAAAGAGGAACTTTCCTTTCTTACAATTTGGTCCTGATCTTATTTGCAGTAGATTGAAGGTGAATAGTCTTAGGGTTTCCCTTGATGATATGGTGTCCTAATTAGAAAAAAGGCAATGAACCTCTTCTGTTATGGAACCAGAATTAGGTAAACATTGACAGTGAGGAATTTTGAACCGATGGTGATGATCTTCGATACAACAATGCAGAGTGGGTCTACAAAGTTAGAACTCCAACACCTAAGTAAGTTTAGAATTCTAGATGAGTGTAGTAAAAAGTGGAGATTAGAAAGTGTATATTGAATGTCTCGTGTGATGACTTTTATACTTTAATTCATTTAGAATGGATTGCCATTGATTTGGGCCTTGGTTTTTTGGGCCTTTGGGCAAACCAGAACAGTTGCCTCCAAGGTTTACCAAGAGGTTATTAGTTGGTGAAGTCTTAATAGTGTGGTCGACCGTTGAAGATGTCGCTCACTATAGGTAAAAAGTGAAAACACCCCAGGTCAACTGCAAAAATAATGGAGGACAAATGCATTAAATGTCTTCCTATTATTGAAATGTTTCACTATTCTTTTCTGACGCATGACTTGAGGTGACTAGTTAGGGTATGACACTGCTTATTATGCACTCGAGTTCATTCGAATTTGTTTATGTTTTCAAGGAGGAATCTAGTCGTAGATTTTGTAGCCTCTCATTTGTTTATATATATATATATATATATATATATATATATATATATATATATATATATATATATATATATATATATATATATATATATATATGGGTTGTTAAGTGTTGATCAAAATTTTTGCAATACTTGAGATTTAGTTTCTATTTTCGAGTGTTTTCCTCTCTTCCTTCCCCAAAGTATTTACCAGGGTAGTTATAGTTCCTTGCTCAAAGCTTTCCCCCATTAGACTTAGCTTTCTCATCATCCTCCCTTTTATTAGGCACCCTCCTTACCTCAATCTTTTAATATCTTTAGCATTTTCTTTACCTAAATCAATATGAGTGGTAGTCCTATTAGCTTGGCTAGAAATTATGAGAGTGATGCATCTCCCGTAATGAGAACTGAAGTGTCATCTAGCTCAAATCCTTCCCCATTTGTCTATGGTCATTTAGGTCCTAAGGTCATATCTATAATTGATGATTTTGATTCGTAAAGGTTCACTATATTTTCCCTGGATGAGGGAGCTCTCTCTAGAGATTTTTCTTTTAACGCTCTTTTCTCTCATGAAGCGGAGGGGAATCACGTGGTTGCCTCTATACCACATTCTTCTCGTGCTGCTGGGGCTTCGACTTCTCCCGATTTGTCACATTCATAAATACAGGTTGTTAGCTTGAGGAGAAAATTTTCTAAATATTATATTCATGCTTATAGAAAACCCTACAATGAAGATCCCAACGATGCCGACATCAACGACCATCTAGAGTGAAAGGGTTAACCAGATAGAGTTTCATGGCTTAAATCTTCAAAGCTTTTTTAAGGTTGATGAATTATCCTCGAAAAGGTTACGTTGGTGGAGTTAGATGATATGATCAAATATAACTGAGTGCAAAACAATTACTAAGCAAGTTCTCACTATAATCGATTTCATAAGTGTCATAATCAATTCTATGCCAAATTTTGAGCTTTGCTATATATTACAAAGTAAATTCAAGAAGGACAAAAACAAACACACGCAGAAATCTAAATAAATTGAAAATATTAAGATCGGTTAAATAGTAAAATACATAAATGATTGTATATTAAATAATGAGTAATGCTATATGGAAATAATTAGTAATGCTATATGGAAATAATTATTTGAATAAGAAAGACAATAATATATACTTGTCATTATTTTAGAAGATAATTATTAATTTATTTTAAAATTAATTTTCTTTTTAATATAAATCATAAAACAATGATAATAATGAATTATTGAAATTTAATTATTTTATTTCGTACTTTCATATTGTCTTACTAATAAGTATTTCTTTTTAAATAATTCTTTATTCGCTTTCGTTTCATAATATTTCGTTAAAAAAAACATTTTTCTTCGCTATATATCGATTATACTTTGATTTAATTTTTTTTACCCAATCCAAAGTGATTTCACAAGACATTTTAAAAATAATATGAAATTTGAAAAAGAAATTTTAACGTGTATATAACTTTAATACTTTGATGGTTTTTTTTCCTTATATAATTATATAATATTTAACATTAAAAAAATTATTTAAACCTATTTAGGTGATTGGTTTTATGGATTTAAAAAAAATAAAATAAAGTATAGTATTAGTCTTATATTTATATTTAAAAAATTTATAAAAACATTTTAATATTAAAAAAAATAAAGTATTCATTTTGCCTATCACAATTCAAGTTGAACTCTTATGGTTTTTATATTTCCACCCCCAAGTAACTCTACTAATACACTATCAACCTTATTTCTAGGGTTTACGTTTCACTTTCTTCTCTCTTCTCCGCCGCATCAATGGCGAACGCCGCTTCATCAGAGCTCGGCCGTTCAATCATAAAACAGCTGGCCATCTCTCAGAAATCCTCCCGTGAAAAAGCTCTCCGTCTCCTCCTAAAATCATGGCTCCCTTCTCAATCTCAACCACTCCCCGACGACGACGCTAAAAAGCTCTGGAAAGGTCTCTTCTACTGCGTCTGGCACTCCGACAAGCCTCTCGTTCAAGCCGAACTCATCGATCGACTCTCCTCGCTTCTCTTAGTGCTTCATCCTTCGTTCTCCGTTCAGTATTTTAGTACTTTCTTCATCACGATGCGTCGCGAATGGTCCGGTATCGACGCGTTGAGGTTAGATAAATTCTATCTTCTGATTCGTAGATTCGTTTCGAAGGGTTTTTCGCTAATTAAAAAGAATTCATGGGATTTGGAATTTGTGAAGGTTGTTATGAATTGTTTGGATGATGCTACTTTTGGTTCGAAAGATAAGTTGTTGCAGGGGAATGGTGTTAATTATCATGTTGCTTCGGTTTTTCTCGACGAGCTTACGCCGTTTCTTCCGGTTAAGGAAGGTGTTTTGGAAGTGATGTTTAAGCCGTTTTTTGATGTGATGGGGAGATTGCCTGATAAGGTTTTGTTAGGGAAGATTAAGAGTGGGTTGTTTGATGTGTTGTTGAGGAATGGGAGGAGGTTGTTGGAGGTTAAGAAGAGTGGGGAGGAAGGGAATGAGGGTAATATCGATGTTGTGAATTTGGGGACGATTGCGTTGGCGATGGGTTTTGGTTCCAAGTTGTTTGAGTTGGCTTCTGCTCCGGATTGTGTTCAGGGGAATAGAAAGGTTTTGTTTGAAATTCATCGCGAGTTTTTGAAGCTGGAGAAGGATGCTGTTATTTCGGGGTTTGAGTTTTTGATTCCTGATTCTGTTGGAAGGGGTGATGAGGAAGTGTCGGATTTGGTTCCTGATGTTGAGGTTGATGCTGATGTTGTTCTTAATGGTAAGTTGCTGAAGAAATGCAAGGATTCTGTTGACAAAGTGAAGAAGGAAAAGAAGTGTAAGAAGAAGAAAAAGAAAAATAAGGATTCTGCTGAGAATGGTGATAAGAATGTTGCTACTGAAAACGGTGGAAATTTGATTGATGAAGAGGTTGACAACGAGTTGGTTTTGTCGGAGACTGTGATTTCAAATCTCCAAAAGCAGTTTGAGAAGGTTGCAGCGGAAGCAGGTTTGGATGACAGTAATGCAAGTTTATGTGTTACACCTAGAGCTACTGAGACTGTATCTAAGAAGAGAAAAAGAACTAAGAATTCTAAAGGAAAGATATCTCAGGATCTTGAATTGAACAGTGGAGACGCCGAGGACTCTGCAGTAGCTAAGAGTGGGGAGAAAAGTTTGAAGAGGGTAAGATTTTCCATGAAAAATAACTTGGTATGGAAGCCACACAGTCCTTTACCTCCTCAGAGTTTGAGAATTCCTCCCTCTGTTACACCAAGAGGAAGTGCACTCAAAAAGGGTGTTCCTCCAGGTCCCATCAGGGAGATGTCTTCCCAGACCAAAAAGGCGAAACTGAAGAAGGTCCGGAGGACAATAGTTGGTACGCCATCTATCAAGCGCTTGAGAAAATTGAGAGCTCTTTCAGTGTGATTTTCCTGATGTTGTTATGGGGTGATTTTTCCATGATTTATTTTGTTGACTTTTTATTTGTAACTGTTATAAAATTTTGAAACGTGATTAGGATGGTTGATTCAAGTTTGTTTTGTTGACTAATGTGTGGTTCATCTACATATTCATTTAATTTCTCGCTATATTTTTATCATTACTATTATTGATGTTTTAACCAAAAGACCTGATGATGAGGGCCTTGAATTTTCGAGGAACAAGAATGCTGTTTTTTTCTTCAAATCTGAGCTTTGTTGGCATGTATTTGTAAGATATTAATAACTTGTTGAAGAATTGCCTTTCTTTAGGAATGAGTGGAGGGATATGAACTTGTGGTTGAATGAGTCTCTGATCAGCTCAGCAGTGGCTGTACCTGCTCTGATGTTATTATGTTTGAGGTGGATGAAAAGTTGAAAATGATGGTTCATTGCTTTCTATTGTGTTGTGTTATTTGAATGATGCCTGCTTTTTATGATTATCAAGGAAGTATATAGTGGGTATAAGACTAGATTGTTGTTGTACATGCTGAAAGATCTAAAACCTTGGTAACTAAATGTTGTGTGGTCACTTCCCTCATGTACACCATCCCCTCTCATATTGTGGAAGCCCTTTATCTGTATCGAGGATTCAGTTTTTTTTCTTCTGTTTAACAACACTCAAAGAGGAAAAGTTTATCGATTTATTAAATTTTTAGACTAAAAATTTTGAAAATGCAAATGCGTTTAGTGATACGGTGGGGGAACTGACCTGAGTGTTTTGCGTTTTGTATTCGCAAATATTGCGGTTTAGCAAGAGTCGTCATCGACTTTTCTTTTATTCAATAAGGAAATGTGAAAAAGCACATGAAAGACCTTTAGAGATGTTTTCTTGAGTTCGGGGGTAGATTATGAAAATGAAAGGTGAAGGGGTGAAAAACACAAGAAGGGGGGGTTGAATTGTAAAACTGGAAACTTAAAGCAAATGACAAGGTATTTTTATCCTGGTTCGTTTGATCTCAAACTACTCCAGTCCACCCGTTCAAGGTGATTTCGCCTCTCTCCAACGAGGTCTTAATTCACTATATTCAACTGAATACAAATCTGTTTTAGCAACTGCTAAAACCTTCTTGATTCAAACCACAATCCGGTTTGTCAAGGCAACACTTTCTTACAAAGGAATAATCAAATGTGTGTGAATGTTTCTACAAAAACTATATCACAACTGTGATGTTTACACAAATGAAGCTTAGAATACTAAGTTGCTAAACGCTAATAGAGTATCAGAGTTTGGTGGTTTAGCAAAACTTGTAGAGTGAAGATTAATGATCAGCTTTTTTACGTGTAGAGAGTTTGGAAGCATTAGCCGTGATAATCTTCAAAGCTTGGTTTATATAGCACTTGAGAAGATGAACGTTGAAGCAAATATTCTTGATTCAATGCTATTTACAAGCTTTCCTTTCTGAGCAGATCTTGTCTAGAATGATGCCGTTGGTATTGATTAGCTTTCAATGCACAGTACCGTTGCTTCTTCAATGCACGATCTGGCTTGGCTCATTCTGATTCTGCTTTGCTGCTGATGAACTGATTTGATTCTGTATCAGAGTATTTTACGCGCAGTTCCGTTCATCAAGCTTCAGCATGTGCAAGCGTTGATCTTCTGATCTTGACGTTCTGATTCAGCAACTTCTGATGCTGGTGTGCAAACTCATATTCTGATGCTGAGAACGTGATCTTGCTTATTTTAATCAGCATATCTGCAAGTCAGAGCATAGTAATTTTAAGTAGCATATAATTCAATCATGAAATATTTAACTACTATATCTTTTCACTTTGTTATCATCAAAACTTAATTATAGGGTACTAGATTCAAACATTGTTCTAACAATCTCCCCCTTTTTGATGATGACAAAAACTAGATATTTTAAATGAAAAATAACGTGAAAAGGTTATCAGATCTATGTATCAGAATAAGAAGTACGGAGAAGTTAGAGTTTAAGAAATACTCCCCCTGAGTTTGTTACTTCCCTTTGATATGCGTGTTCTTCAGAGTCAGATCTTTTTCTGTCTTTGAGCATCAGATTGTAAGTCTTTGACTTATCAGAAAGCAGAGCTTCAGAGCTTTTCCTGTCAGAGCTTTGCTTCAGATCAGAGTGTTAGGTTGATCAGAGCATCATATATCAGAACTTCATATTTGATCAGAGCAACATGGTCTTCTAGTCTTCATTGTGTTCAAGAGCTTCCTTGTGCCTGTAGACTTAAAGACAAAACAGAAAAACATTTAAAGTAATAGAGAGTTAGAATGTTTGAGAGTTTCTGTCTAGTTATCCGTTATTGATTTTAAATATCATTCTTGTTCTCCCCCTTTTTGTCAGCAATCAAAAAGTGCTGGTGATGTGCTAAAATGATTTAGATCAGAAAAACTAATAACATTAAAAATAGTTCAGAATCAGAGTAAAATAGCATTACAAACCATAGACAAAACATAGTCAAAAGTACATCAGAAAATAAGGAAAATATAGAGAATGTCATGCATGAAAAAAATTTCAAGGTTGTGGGGGCATGCGTGAGAACAGGCTTTCCAGCATTGCCTGAATCTTTTCAGAAGTTGCATTCTGCTTCTGAACCAAAGTGACAACAGAATCAATTTTGCTGTCCTGGACATTCATTCTAGCTTCCATCTTCTGATTATTCTCATCCATCCGCTGCTGTAGACGCAAGTCATTCAGCCTTAACTCTTCCAGAGCCTGCCTGTCCAAGGCAGCTTGAGAGCTTTCAGCGGGAGGAAGCTTCTCAGAACTTTCAGCTACATCTTCTGCTGGATTCTCTTCTTGAAGAGTCTTGTCTTCTTCTGCTGGTTCCACCTGAGCAGCTTGCTCTTTCTCAGACCACGATTCAGAGTCCAGAGGAAGCACAACTTCTTGAGGCAGCTGACTCTCAACTTCCTTCAGCAGCTTGCTAAAGTTCTGTTGAGCCTGCTCATAGTTGACGTCCTGCAGCTTGAGTGCTTCAGCACGAACCCAAACTCTGAACTGTGACCAGAGCTGATCAGAAGCAGCTGGGAAGACCAAGAGTGAAAATGCAGTTTGCTACCACACCAATATCCGGACACCTATCAGCCATGTCCACACAACGGACTCCGCCACCACTCTGACCAATTAACCTAGCAATGAGGTCTTCAGAAATTATGATCTTCTTTCCCATAACAGAGGAGACGACTAGATGCTTATCAATCTTGGCATGAATCCAAAATTCTTTGACAAGTTCTGGGAAGGTTGGTCCAACCAATCGATCAAAGTACCTCTCCCACCTTTGAGTTTTGACTTCAGCAGATAGGTCAAATCCATTTTCCTTCAAACTTTCGAAATCCACTATTAACTCAGAGAGAACCTCAAGATTCTTTACTGGTGTGAGAAGAGTTCTGGTAGGCGCTTGATATTGCTCAGAGGTTTCCTTCTTCTGATTTCCTGCAGAAATGCTGGAGGATGCCATTGTTCTCACACAAAAAGCTTGAGAGTGATTTGAGAAAAGCTAGGGTTTTGAAGGAGATATGCAGAAAAATTCTTAAGAGATTATGAGTAAGAGTAAAGATTAAGAATGAAGAGTAATGTGCTTAAATAGGATTTTCAAAAATTATTTTGAAAAATAAAACGTTTTTAAGAGAAAAAAAATAATGATTGCAATTAACAAGCGTGATTACTTTTGCATTTAATGCTTGCTGATTTTGGGGGATTTGAGAAAGATACTTAAAACGGTTACCAGACATGTGTCTCAATGCACCCAATCATCGTTTTCCTTTCTCAGAAACGTGCACGCGTTCTGCTTCAGGGATATGCTGATGATTGGATGACACTTGTTTGATATAGTGATCAGCACGTCTGTCTTTGAGATTAGACTCTCAGATCTTCAGACTTGCCTCTGATACAATCTGCATGTTCTAGCTTTCTGAAACAAAGATTGATCAGAAGTTCACAGTAATATAATTACATTCTGAAAGATAAAAATATGGAATTAAAGCATTTTCATTCTGGGCATACTTTCATGCTGAGATGTTTCAGAATGAAATTAAACCTATCTTCTGAAAGGGGTTTTGTAAAGATATCAGCCCATTGATGGTCTGTATCTATAAATTTCAAGTTTAAAATGCCTTTCTGAATATAGTCCCTAATGAAGTGATGTTTTATTTCTATATGCTTAGCTCTAGAATGTAAAATAGGATTCTTACTTAAGCAAATAGCAGAAGTATTATCACAAAGAATAGGAATGTTACTCTCAAAAATCTGGAAGTCTTCAAGCTGACTTTTCATCCAGAGCATCTGTGTGCTGCAACCAGCTGCTGCTATGTACTCAGCTTCTGCTGTTGACAGAGCAATAGTTGATTGCCTTTTGCTGGACCACGAGATCAGATTTTCTCCCAGAAACTGGCAGCTTCCAGAAGTACTTTTTCGTTCCACTCTGTCTCCAGCAAAATCAGCGTCGCAGTAGCCTACTAAACTGTAATCACTAGATTTTCTATAAAACAAACCCAGATTAGTAGTACCTTTCAGATACTTGAAAATTCGCTTAACAGCTGTTAAGTGAGATTCTCTAGGATCTGATTGGAATCTAGCACAAATACATACACTGAATAGAATATCAGGCCTTGAAGCAGTCAGATAAAGGAGAGAACCAATCATACCTCTGTAGACTTTCTGTTCTACGCTTTTGCTTACCTCTTCTCTTTCCAGAATGCACGTGGGATGCATTGGAATCTTTGATGGCTTACATTCTGAGAGGTCAAATTTCTTCAGAAGATCTCTGATGTATTTGCTCTGATGAATGTAAGTTCCCTCTGGAGTTTGATTGATCTGAATTCCTAGAAAGAACTTCAGTTCCCCCATGAGGCTCATCTCAAATTCTGCCTGCATACACTTAGCAAATTTTCTTCCAAGAGAAGGATTAGTAGAACCAAAGATTATATCATCAACATAAATCTGACAGACTAAAATGTCACTCTTAACTGTTTTACAG